CAAGCAAAGCTTGCTGCTTTCATGATGGTGTTTTTTTATGACCTGTGAATCCTTTTAAAATTGCAGCATGATCTGTACATGCATATAAGAAGACTTCAACTACCTAGAAGTGACAGGACTAGATCAATAACTAGCTCGTTATTTCTGCAGTATGCTTTACCACTTCTGGAAGTTAAATCCAGTGAGATTATTCTACGGATTTGAGCTCTGGGCAGTATGTTATAGAGATGTGCACTTACGTATTACTTGTTTGTTTTGCAGCTCCTGGTTGCTAAATCCCCTGTTGCTCCATTCTCTGCTTTTTTCTACACCATTGAGAAATCAGGCTTGGTTCTTCAAGGTAAGACCAGAGCATTGATTGTTTTGCCTTTACAATTAGTATTTTAAGCAGGCTGAACGTACGTAACATCAACTATTCTTGAAAATGGTGTTGTTTGTACCTAATTAAACCCCCCCCTATTTAAACAGTCTGGTTGACAAGGGCAGTCTTCTGCTGTGTTCACTCTTTTGTCTTGGATTATACTGCATTAGTTGTTACATATTCCCATGGATCTATGAATGGACCCTAAAATTATTAATCAAGGCTCCCTGTTTTCCTTCAAGGTAAAGTGGAATGGTTCTGGCAACATTGCTGCTATGGGATAGGTTTCTCTGGGAGAAACATCCCCATCTATCATTAATAAAATGCTCTATTAAATGGTTCTTCTTTAGCAAATGGCTTGACATCAGTAAAAATACAGGAAATTAATATCTGGTCTCTATTTTTGTGATCATTTTAATGCTAATGCCCCATGGTCATAAATAATCCTCAGATTCTCTAGGATACGAGGTAGCGTACTGAAAAGCTGGATGTTACTACCATGATGGCAGGGAACTAGGGTTCCTTGTCGCCATGTCCTAAATCACGTACTTTCACAGCAAAACGGGAAGTTCAGCTCTTCCCTTCTTTCCCCCGTTTATCCCAATAAGTCTTTCTTTAATGTCGTTACTTTTTGACAGACATTCATAGATCAATTTTGATGAGTTGCTGTCTGTTGATATGCAGCTTGGCTTCTAATTGCTGCATCAGTTTAGCAGATTAAATAAAACTAGTCAGTGCCTGTCACGTTCTGTTCAAAGGATACAGCAGCCATGGCATTAAGAAAAGCAAATATCACTGTTTCTCAGGTTCCAGTGATTGAGAATCACTGATCCCATAAAGCACTATGAACTTTTTAAGGTATGTGAACAGTTCTCTTTCTTCTGATTGACCATTTCAAACCTTCAAACAGGCTGTACCAGACCAACAACATATCTACATTTACTAATGACTAAATACGCTTACGTCTCTGGTGATACATAACGTAGGAAAACAGAAGAAACAAAAGCATTTTTTGGTGCATTTTTGCTTCCATTCTATACATCTACATAATGATAATGTGAGGGTCCATCTGGTGCTTCCTAAACCTTTGGATACTATACCCAGTGTGTTCTTAGATGCCATTCTGGGAATTTGGTCTGCTTTATTTGGTACCAGTAATTTTAAACAGGCTATGGGAACTAGAAACAGTTTTTATTAGTTTAAACTGAGATGGCTTGCAAGAGTTGCTCTGGACATGTTTTGATTCAGTACAGGGCAGAAGACAAGCTACTTTTCTATCTCAAATATCTTCTGAGTTGCAGAGATGTTTCTGGTCATTATAAAAAAAGGCAGACAATTTCCTGCTCTGTCCTCAGGCACTAATGGAGTGAAACTTTGAGAAAGAAAGATTTCCCATTTCAGAAACAAGAAACATTTGTTCAGAGAAGGTCTTTATTTGTTTCAGGTCTTTTCTGTAAGCCAGGAAAATAGTTTACGAAGGACTGAACCCTGCCTTTAAAGAACAAATGGGCCTGGTAACACGTAATGATGATGGAGCAGGACTCTGATAGAAGGATAGCACTCTATTAGGAGTATGGCAATTGCTGTTTTCCCTGTATCCATATGTTTCTGGGGTGCACATTTAAAACATCATTCACCATTTTTCTAAAAACAGGTGAGATACCAATTTGGATTTCTCTAAGTAAATGCTGTCTCAATATCAGGCATTCTTTGCACATTTTGGAAGGCAGCTTGAAGCTCGTCTTTATGTGAGCCTTTTCTTCGTTTCTGACTACACCATTATGTTTCCATTTTAGATACCTGTCTCCAAGATGGGTAGTAACCAAGGGCATTGTTCCCCTGATAATGTGCCCCAGACTATTTTATAAAACTTGTAAGCACGTACATGTGAGCCATCTCACTGAGCTGTACAAAGTAAATATTGCATGTTCTCATCCCATATTTCACTGATCGTTATTTCTATGGAAGGAGGAAGTGAGCAAATCGCCTGGAAATGGCTGTTTTGGATAAGATACAGAAAGTGGCACCAGGCCGCCTTGTGCAAGAGAGGCTAGAGTTTTTATGAGAGTTGTAGCTGGTGCTTCTTTCCAGAGGGAAGCTGGATGCAAGGTAAGATGTCAGTAAGGCAACTGCCCACGGGTCAGACAGTGAGGGAGTGTCCCTGCATTGCTGCTTGAGGGACATCGTATAGCGCTAACAAGTGGAATCTGTCCCACAGCCTGATTGCAAAGGCAGCATTCCCATTCAGGCTTTGTTGTTTAATTCAGTTGGTGTCAGGAGGTGAGCACATTCAGGGTGGCTGATGGGAACAAGTGGATGGGTGTGGGAACTGGCGAGAAGCAGCAGCTGGCTGAAATGCCCAGGATTCTTTCTTCTTACGCAGGGGGTCCCATCCCGGGACCATTAACCAATAGGCCATAAACAAATTGATATCGGAAAATGTGGCTAGAAGCTCCTTGATTAGTGAGGGTGAATGGGGAATGAAAGACAAAGTGAAAGTGTGATTTAACAGTTCCACAAGCAATTTCCATTGCCACCTCTGAGGGATTAGGACGTGTGGAATAGGCTAAAAATGAGGAGGAGCTCCCCCCCTTTTGTTCTGCGGCTGGAGGATAATAAAACGGCAGGAGAGGCAGTGCGGCTAGTTAGGGATTTCACAGGCTTCTATGTGATGCAGTTTAAGGAGCCCTTCTGCTATTGTTGCAGTTAAAATGGGAAGCGGAACTGTTCTCCATTCGCAAAAATCTCCAGCGTCCTCAGGAAGAGGGCTGAGAGCAAAAGGCTATTAAGATGGTAATGCTGCCCCATTTGGAGGAGTGTATCAAAATCCTCTTTGTCAATGTAAATCGCTGCTCTGTTTCCCTGGTATCTTTGCATCTCATGGCCTCGGTGCAAGCACAGAAGTGTTCAGAGGAGACCCTAGTGAAGGCAGAACAGCTTCTCTTACACTGTCAGAGCAGAGCTTCAGGCTGCCCAAGGGTGGCATGGAGAAAACTTCTTTGCTTTTATAAACGTGAAGTGTTTGGGGATGAAAAGAATCCAGTTGTTCACTCATTCTTTTATTTCCACTTGCAGACTAGAGAAATGAAATTTCATGATCGGAACGCAAGATTGGCTGGTCAGAGATTTAGCAAAGAAAGTCAGCCTTCAGTCTCCTCCTTTCATTGCTTCTGTATGCTCTGTGTGCAGTAGAGGGGGTGGAGTGCAAACCGAAAAAAAGCCTCAGTTGGCTTTACGTTGCAACACAATGGCATGTAATGTACTGCCGTGCTGTACAGTGTGACTCCGTGATGAACCTGAATTGTGATTGCAAAATCCAGTCTGACAGCAGATCTCTGTTTTGTAGAGATCTTAAACAGAGGCAGAGGCCTGGATCTGAGCACCACAAAATACTGGAATTTTTACTGTCTGTCTGTGTATTCTGTTTGAGGACTTGCCGTTGCTTCCCTAATTCAGTATACTAGTTAAAGTGACTGAAGTGATACTGTCAAAAAGAAGAATAACAGTAAAAAAGCTCCAGATCTACTTGATTAAGGGTGCAAGTCACAAGATGATTTTTCTCATTGGCAGTGATATAATTTCTGTTTTGGATTGGAAATTACCAGCTGGTAATTCTGTTCCTGATGTATCAGTCAGAACAGATTCTGGGCTGTTATGCCTAGCTGTAGTTTCAGTGAAGCTGAATGTAGCACATACTGGGTTAGGTCAGCTGAACTAGAAGATGCCACTTAGCTGCGTTCATACATATCCAAAAAGAAGATAGGCTGAATAAGATGATGTCAGTGTTAAGCTGTATTCTGTGGGCAATAGTCCAAATCTAGTTTTAGAAGCAGCAACGTTCTGGGGCATAAATACAAGCTAGCGACAGAGCCTAGCTATCGGCAACTGGTAGCTCGGCTGTCCGTGGAAGTAAGTGTCATTCCATTTCATCTAAGTAAATTCATTCTGTGCTTTAACCAAGTGATTAACGTTGCTTTTCACTGAAAGAGCTCAGAAGCACTGAAAACATGAAGCAAATAATAGTAGTGAGCTCACTTTTGAGTAATGATTTATTTTCAGTTTTGTAGGGTTTAAAGATGAGCGGAATCAGCAGTTCATCCAAACTGACCTCCCATATATCATGCATATTTCCTTCAGGTATCTGATAACTTACGTTACACAGAAGCATTTCTTCTAGAAAGGCATTTGCTTTTATTTGAGAACATTAAGAAATGTGATTTCCTGGTTTGCCTTGACAGTGTTTTCAAGTTTTAGCTACCTTGCTGCTAAATACTTGTTCTGTATTTCAGATTAGAATTTGACCGCCTTCAGCTTTTGGCCTCAGTTCTTGTTATGACCTTCAGTGCTAAATAAAGCACTCTTGCCATTAAGTGTTTGCCGTTTTGCGTGAGTGTACTTGACATTAAGATTTATCCTGCTGTGTTTTATTCTTCTGTTTGAAAGAAAGTTATCTGCAAATTTAACCTCAAAACTTGTGTCTCATGCTCACTGGCTCCCCTCACTACCCAAAGAAAGGACATAATACCATGTATTGCTAAGGGGAAGAGTTTGGGTTTTGCGGGCAGGAGTGAATGATTAGTTAGTTGATTAGTGCACCCTTTCTCCTGCCCTGTTTTCCACTGCACACGTGTCTGTCTGTGCACAACCATGCTTACCTTGCCTGTAATGGCTTATTGAGGCAGGTGGCTTCTAAGTAGGAAAAAAAAAAAAGATATGTGGCACTCGGAAGAGTGTGTCTTAGATTTTAAGTTTTGCAGTACTCAGGGGGAAAAGATCTAGGAACAGCTAAATCTTGGTATGTTAGGTTTCATTTGTCACTAATGTAATGAAAGAGGCTCATTTTGATCTCAAAATAGCATAGGATCTGGGTTTGTAGTGCAGCATGGCAAACGGTCTCCAAAGTGCTATAACTAATTTATATGGCTGAAGCAAGTGAAAAGTGCCTCATTTTATTTTGTAAAGAAATGCTTTGGTAATGA